CTTTTGAGGCATCACTTTCCTTGTACTGATTTCTGCTGATCCTAAGATTCCCTGAAATGAGGAGTGGGAGATCAAGAAGATGATGTGCTTTCAGAGCATGCATCTAAAATGCTTCTGTCCTTTGTCTACAGCAATATGTCAGCCCAAGCACATGAATTGGTGGAGCTAATGAGAAGCAGCTTGGTAAGTGGAACTTGGACCACCCCTCAGTGCTCCCATGGTCTCTGGGAGATGACTTTAATTGATGGGATGCTTGAGTAGTGAAGAGTGCTTTACTGATGGAAGAAAAGTCAGTGTCCTTGTCTCTGGTGTGCTTTCCAAGATGAATATGCCAGGGATTAGTCTTTAGGAGATGATAATTTACCGATACAAATCTACGCAGGTAAGGTGCAAACACACAAGGCAGAGACCTATGTAGGGCGCAGTGTGGCCAGGAGTCATAACGAGGGTAGTGAGGAAGAGAAGAGATCTGAAGGCTCTGGGGAGATCACAGGACTGCTTAGTTGAACAGCAGCATTCAAAGTGGAGGTCATAAAGGCTGAGTGTAAAATTGCTAGAGCAGGCACCTGGTGACCAATGTGAATCACACTATACACTCTCGGCTCTAGAAAATGGCAGTACTGGGAAGGGGGACAACTGAAGTCTCCCCAGGAGATTAGGCCCTCTAAAACTCTGGTTCTGAGCAAGCAAGTGATTAATCAGTGGCCAGAAACCTCAGGGTTGGGTGAATCCCTGTCATGCCACAAGCTTTTACGGAATTAGTAGGGGATCTAGTGTTGTAGACCAGCTTGCTGTGCCACCTCCACTGAGGGCTACAAAAGGCACCAAAAGGGCAAATTGCTTTGAATTCAGTGGCTGCTGCTGCAGTTTGGGGTGGAGGGAGGAAATCTGGGAGAAAACCAAGGCTGCCCTTCTCCAAGTGTTGGCTGAATTTGAGAGGATGACTGTATGGGTGTGAGCTGTTGGTTCAGGGAGAGCACCCTGTAAGGCAATGGGAGTGCCTGGTGCTCTTTGGCTCAGGCTGAATGGGAAAGGAAGGTACTGAATAAGCAGGATTTGTCAAAGCATGTGTCTCTCTGTGCCAGCACTCTTGATGGATCCTGCATGCTAGTCCCACTGTCAGTTACTCTGCATTACCGATTGTTTGGCAGAGTGAAGGGAGCTGGCATGGCTCTTCAATAAAATAGTACGTGGCTCTGTTTTATTCACTGCTTTTTATGCCCCTTTAAAAAAGGGGAGGGGGGGAAGTCCCTGCCTCTTCATGGAAGGCTTTCCAAGCAAAGTGCTGGTTAAGGAGGAGAATTCAGACCTGTGGGTGATTCCCAGGCCCTTCCTCTATTTGTGGGATCCTTTCGCAGATGTTTGTTATGTAAATGCACCACACTAAAAATAGTTGCCTTTGATTCCTTTCTTTGTACTGAACATTACAAAATGTTTTGATGAGATCCAGCTCTCAGCAGTGCCTATTGTTAGCTTGCAGTGACGTGGATGCTGCAGCTGCCCTTATATGAGCTCAGTAAAGTCACCAGCCTCCTGGACTCTTCTATTTTAATCCAGCTGTCTGTTCCCTGGGGCGTCCCTTGCCCCTCCTGGCCGTGGGGTAATACTTGCCCAGCTGGCAGGGATCCCCAGCAGCTCCAGTTCTACAGCTCCATGAGTCACTCCAGCATCCACTCCCACATCTCTTCATCCCCACGCTGCCTGCAGCGTTCAGCCACGGCTGGCACATCTCTCCTGTCCATCCCTGTCCTGCAGCTAACATTCATTTAGGTACGCTTGCTGCCACAGACAGGTTTCTGTGCTCAGCTACCCTGACAGATCTTGTCTGCTGAAGGGGATTTCCTCACAAAAGCCAAGGTGAATTGCATCTAGACTAGCAAAGGGTTCACATTTTCCCTCCGGACAGGTGCTTTTCTTCTGCCATCTTAACTCAGCATGCCTCCTTTCTCTGTTCTGCCATGCTGTCTGTACCCGTTCAGCCCCATTTGTGAATGTTAGCTCTGCATGCCTAAGCAATGGATGCTACAATCCGTTTATTTTATGTGCCTCTAGAAAATTAATTTCAAGGAAGATTGGAAGCTGATCACTGTCCTCGTTGGAGGCAATGACCTATGCCAGTACTGCTTGGACAAGGTTTGTATCTCAGAATTAGGCACGGTCATCCAGGCACTTGGCAAGTGACCAGCCCTGGAAATTTAACCTTTCTCTCTCTCAGTGAGCCGAAGCTCCTCTTTGTTTAAAAAGCTATTAGAAGTCCTGTTCCTTTCATGTGTATTGTATCAGAAACAAGTACACAGCTTTTAATACTGGGGCACTGTAGCTCTGGAGTAATGCATTATTTAAGAACCAGCAACCTGCCCCATATGGAACAAAACACCAAGGATAAACTGAAGAGCTCTCCCAGCTTAACTGGACAAAGCAATCAAGACAGTGTGGCGTCTTAGGCACGTTGTTATGGGGACACAAGTGAAGTTTTATTCTGGAAAGTGTCTCCACACAATAATTACTGAGGATGCCTGATTCTTGCTTCAGAATGACACCAAAATAAATACCATCAGTTTATAGCGAAAAAGATGTCTTTTGTCTAGCTATCAGTGGTCATCCTCTCTGAAAAGGTTCCTGTGGCACACACTGGGTGTCTGGAACCCAGCTCACTGAAATGACCCCCACAGCTACACCTCTATAAGTACAGTCACAAAGTCTTTTTGCCTATGGGGTTTGTGGGGCCTGACTGCCTCCATATCAATTTCCCCAGATTGGCAGTTTAAAAAAAAAAGTATCGCCCTGTTCATAAGGCAAACTACTCTGGTCTGGTTCCCATAAAAGACAAAATGAAATCCAAAGATATGATATATGTAGTCATTCATCAGGCAAAGACTCTGTCAAGAACTATTACATACCTCGGGATTTTCTAGAGATTAAGGCAATATATTAGTGACATGGAAACAAAAGCACTATATAACCTGTGTGTGTGTGGCAATAAACTTGATCTGAAAATATATCTGCCAACAAAGGCAAAAAGGAGCATCGAGTCAGTATATCTTCTCATGGACCACCTTGCAACTAGAAAGTCTGTGGACTCCTTTGCTCAGGTGAAACAGTTAAACTTCTTGGTTCCTGAAAGAAGACTGATCCAAACTTTTTTTTTTTTTCTCCTAAATTACACAGGAAACCTATTCAGTGCAAAAGTATGTAAAGCACCTCCAGGACACTCTGGATATTTTCTATGAGGAGGTAAGCTTTTAAGATACCCTAGCAAACTATGTTCCTGGCAAGCACACTGATGTTTTTCTCACCTCTGATAGACTGTCAGTGATTACGTTTCATACAAGGTCATCTTCCAAATAGCTGGAGTCAGAATGCTCCTCAGCACTGCATTTCAACAGCTGTATTGGATAATGCCTTGAGAAAGTGGGCTGTAGTTTCAGGGAAACTGTGTTTCACAGTATTTTTGCTGTGGACCAAACAGCACAACCCTACTGCCAGTTTTGATGGCTAAACCAACTGTACAAAGTTTCATTTACCCTAGAGAAAATGGAAATGCCTCAGGGAGTGAAGCAGCATTTCAGCTAGCTTGTACTAGCTGCCGGGAATTTTTTGGCTGACATCCACTGTATGTCTCTCTCCCTTTATACATAATCCTTACACATGCCATTGGTTGCAGTCGGTGCAGTTTGCACTGACTCCCTGACCTACGGATGGCACTTCTTTCTCACTTTGTAGTGGTATCATGTTCTGTGATTTGGTACGTCTGGTTATTCTAATCCCTGCAGCTCCCAAGAGTCTTTGTCAATGTGGTGGAGATACTAGACATTTCTGGACTGCGTCAGATTGCAGCAAGCTCTTCAGGGTGCGCTTTGACAGCAAAGTAAGTCAGCAAAAGAGGTCTTTGCCTTTAAAGTGCTACTTTTTTTGGATCAATCTAAATTGCTTCTACAGGAGGACATCCACACCAAGCTTTCCAAGCTACTTTCATTGCTGCCTTTACTTGATGCACTAGTTCACATTATCAACTTTCTACTACTTCTTCCAATACTTCAGCTAAAAGGCGTGCACCTGTAGATAGCAGTGGTGACTTTTCTTCTTGACTCTAAGGCAGCATGTCACAGCACAAGCCACCATATAATTGCTGCACTACTAAACTTCAAAGCCTTTTTTTTTCCCAGCCATTCACTGCTCAGCAGCACAGGCTGACATCCCTGACCCTTCTCCTTGTATTCACTGCTGCATTACCTGTGATGCAGGCTGGGCTGCATACAGCAGCATGCACACCCAGGAACAGCTTTTCACACCTAATGGAGGAGGCCAAAGTCCTAACTCGAAGATTGAAGGACTTGTTTTAGAAAGCAGCAGTGCCTTTACAGGAGTCAGTGTGGACATGAAAAGCCTCTTTAGGCTAGTGGAGAAAGGTATAACAAAGACCAGTGGTTGGAAGCTGATGCCTAATGAATTCAAATGAAGTTAGGTGCAGATTTTTAATAATAGAAGCAATTAACTACTGGAACATACTAGAAGGGAAAATAGCGAATTGACTGTATTGCTCGACGTCTTCATATTCATTCCAGGCACATTCTTAGAGGATGCATTTCAGTGAAGCAGAAGTTATTACCTCTCAATATGGGGGTAACAGAATTAAACACAGTGGTCTGAGGAGTCAGACTACATGAACAATTTGTCTTTTCTATCTTTAAACCCCCAGATTTCTGAAACTCTGCTGTAAGCCTATATGCAGGGCTTTTTTAATTCTAACATATGTGATTTCCTGCTAACGTGTGGCATACTAAACACTTTGGTGTCTGACTCAGTCGTGGATCCTGCAGCTCTTACTGGCTGTGACAGGTGTTCACTTTGAAAACTAAGTCAATAGGGATTTTTTTTCTGAAGTATCTGTCCACCTCTAAGCCAACAAGGTGGCTCTCCTTCTGCATGTGAGCTTTGAGCACCTATCCTGAGCTTCTTGAAGCAGACATGTATTGCTGAAGAATAAGCTATTCCAGGTTGGCTTTTAATTCTAGTATTTCTTTTGTTGAAGGAATGTTTGCCCATGTTTCTTAAATCCCAAGGAAAACTCTTCTGAACTACAAGAAATTAAGAGAGTTAACAGAGACTTTCAGGTAATACCTTGATTCTGTAATTGGTCATCTTCACTTGTGTCTCTTTTTATATTGCTTCCCTTCCTCTCATGCATATCCTCATCAGGACAGAGAGGAATGACTGGGAAACAGCTTGGATACAGTCTAACTAAGTCCCTACACAGCTAACTGGTTAGCAGCAGTGCAACCAATCTTTCCACACTGCCTTATAATTTGACTTCGGTTCTGTGCTGGAGGCAGACTGAGACTGGTTCTATTTTCAGTTGCTGTTTCAACAGCTGAAAAGGAGTTACTGGTGATGGCTGTTTTGTTGATATCTGTTTGTCCATTATGAATTCAATGAATAGCTCACATGAATTAACATGTCACTGCAAGGGTGACAAATTACCTTGCATCAGCTGTTTTGTGGTAACTCTTAGCAGAGAAAATGAACTAAACCAACCTGATATTCCTTTCTTTTGCTGTGGACTGAGAGCATGCACACAGATAGCTTACCATGGGTCAGCTTGCTATCTGAGAGTAACTTTTCATAGCCTCAGGCATAAGATTGACTCAAATTTAACGAAGGCTATAAATAGGTACTGGAGCAGAAGGTTTTTTCATCATTATTCTTATGAATACAGGAATCGCTGTATCAGTTCACATAATGTTCTCCAGTCCTCCGTTCTGGCTCTGGCAGATGAATCTGACAATGCTCAAAAAGACCATCTTGGAAAATACTTGTATAAACCTATCCAGGGGGCTTTTTCCTTAACTAAGGAAGTGGGGTTAGGAATGTTTTGAGATATGACCAGGAGCATTAGAATTTATACCCATAAGCTGGCAAGTAATTAGATGTTTTTATTATCTGTATGAATGTCTATTGCTATAGTTTTCAAAAGTGGTAGGTGAGTTTTCAATGCTTAAGCCTTATTTTACTTCAAGCACACCTTTCTGAAAAATCAAGTGCACTTCAGTCTCAAGTTGGCCTTCTGGACTCATTTGTCACTTCTAAAAATTGTGGCCTTATGCCTTTTTTTTTTAATTCTCTGTAAATTTTAATATCTTCATGATTGTGCCGCACTGATTTCTATAAGTAAGGTACGAACTACCTTTTTTTTTTTTTAAATTAAGCAACTTTACATTTAAAATTATGCTAGCTTCTGTGCATTTTCCCCATGAAAACTCTTCATGAACCAAATTCTTTTTTTAGCAATACTCTGGACTGCTTTAAAACTATTCAGCTGGATTTAAACTAATAATTTATGGCTTCCTACACTGAAATAAGTGTAATATGCATGTTTTTGATAGCTGACAAATGTTAGATGAACCTTGTAAGGAACTTTGCTGTTTCCAACCATGCAACTCCATACAGGCTGAAGCCCTACAGCTGATCAACAGTGGTCGGTACGAGGAGCGTGAGGACTTTGCAGTTGTCATGCAGCCATTTTTCCGAAACTCCTTGTTGCCCCTGGATAGTGTGAGTCCTGTTTTTCGTTCCCATTACGCAAGGACCGGTATCTTGATTTCCCTAAGTCAGTATGATCCATGCCACAAGGACTGTGTTTTCTTCTCTTTGCACAGTCTAGTAGCACAGGGTGGAATGTGCGATAAGAGTGACAGAGGAGAAGACAGGAAAGACTGTGCTGCCTGTGAATCAAAATGGCTTTAGGAAACATTCGTAGCGTGCACACCTTAAACCTAAGCACCTTCTGGCTTCCTCTAAACTGCATGTTGTTTCCCCTGTTGGGGGCTTTTGTTGGCATTGACCCTAATTTTCCTTCTGATCCAGGTTATGGAATAAGTTCAGGTTTCTTTCACACAGAGACCAGCACTTGCATGCCTGGCTCATCCCAGCCTGGAAATAGGAAGCAGCCTTTGAAGCCAAACACTGATTCTCCTTCTTCTCTTCAGCCTTAGCATTATGTATGCTGTGTAGTTAGGGATACAAATATTTAGCATCAGTCCCGGTCAAAAACACCCAGTTTTGCATAATACTGATCCTTTTGTCATATCATCCCCATTTTGTTCTGGCAGCCTTCAAGTCCAAAGAATGGTCACCATACAGGTAGGTATGAGACAAATTCTCCCTCAGACAGACATTTGCCACAGCTGGATAACCTCACAATTTTTAATGTTGCCTGAAATTCAGCACAAATTTCAACACCCGAAAGGTTATAAGTCTGAGTTATGGAAGTTTAACAAGCAAGAATAAGCACGTTTTTATCAGTTCTGTACAAGGAGGAGTGTGGGCCAATGGCGGTGTCCATGTAAGAGCTGTGACTGTTAGCTTAATGATAAGTTTAGGTTTTTATGAAAATTGTTGTATGAAGTTGAGCAGGCTGCATTATGCAGGTGGGCTCAAGATGCAGTAATCAGCCCACAGTTAGGAGTACCTAAGTTTATTTGTGGTGTCAAAATATGAGCATACTGCCTTTAGGAAGATACCAAAATTGTGAAGTGGGTATGCCAAGTACGGTGCACTATTAAATATAATACGTTAGATCTCAAAGATTGAAATGTGCTGAGAAATATATTTTTACTTTTATCACAGAACGGCAAGCCAGATCTGGATTTCTTTGCTGCAGACTGCTTTCATTTCAGTGCAAGAGGCCATGCTGAGATGGCTATGGCTCTCTGGAATAATATGGTAAGAGGTTATGACCTAGATCCCTACGTGTTTGTGGTAGCAGTCCCTACAAAAAATCACGAGAAAGGTGTCTAAAACAAAACAGTAATCAAGAAATAAAATTTATATCCTAACAAGAGGGGGCTGCTCAACTCTGAGACCCTTCTCAGTCTGCAGTCCAAAGGGATCATGTTGCATAAAACAGTGTATGTCTTTGCTTATTCAAAATGAGAAATCCTAAGTCTCTTAATGTAATGAAAAATGCCCTTCTCATTTGGTAAAGAACTTGCATTAAAGCAAAAAATCAGCCTAGTTAAGCATTTAGTCCTGTAGATTTCCTGAAAATGTCTGTTGAATGAGCTTACCCTTCTTCAGTGAATTCTGTTAGATTTATTAGGAAAACATACATGTGATTGAATTTTTGCTGCCATTAATAGTGTGGACATGTTGTACCACCCACTCTAGTATCTGAAGCAATTCTAGTAGAGTCACTGAAACTAATGGGGGGCTGAAATCACACCTATGATGCCTTTCCTTGCAGTCACATTCCTTCTGTCATTTTGGGCAAAATGATAGCTTTTGAATAGTGCTGGAAGAGTATGTAAGAGGCACATGCTGAACTTGATAACTCCAAGGTCACAGTTGTTTTCATAATCACGATGTTTCCCACGGTGGAAGGAAGACTATGGCATTTTCATGCCACAGCGACATTTTCTCTTCTTGTCTCATAAACACCAGTACCCAAACACAAAGTGGTAGCAGAAATCCTGTATCCTGGTTTGTACAAGAAACAAGCATAAATGGAAGGGAATTTGTTTTCAGTTTAAGTAAAAGTTTGAGCAAGATAAGAAACTTACAGTATACTCCAGAATGAACTTGAGTACAAGGACTGGGAAATGCAGGGCAGAAATCTGTGCAGTTGCCCAGTATAGCACATGAGCTGTAGGTTCAGGGTTATAGAAAACAGTAGATGTACAGTGCATACACATGCTCTGAGTAATTGATTTGTGCATGCACAGCAAATCTGCCTGTTTTCCATCAGGCTTCCTTGTCTGGGACTCCAGATGACAGCAGTCTGGTAGGCTTCATTGTGCGGTAGCTTGAACAGGGCTGATGGTGGCCCAGAAACCCCAGGCAAATGTAGAAAACATTCAAATTGAGCATGGCTGCAGGTTTCAAGAAGAAAAAGAGATGGTACCTGGACATATGGTAGCCTTAAATTGGATTTTTGTTGCCCCGTGATGTTCTTATTGGCCATTACTCATTCCTGAATCACCATCAGTCCTTTTTCTATGCCACTGGAGCTTTATTCTGTCCAGACTGTCACTCATTTCCTACACATGTGAAGATACTGACACAAAGCTTTCTGCTGGGGTGGCAGGGATCAGGTTCTTACTGATGCAAAGCACAACTATTCCCTTCCGCAAAGATCTGTGGGTCTATGCCAACTGAAGATTTTACTGTTTACTATTTAAATCTAGTTCTTGTAACACATCGTTGCTTTTCACTCACAGTCCATGTACGGCGAGGTTGTGCAAGCTTACTGTAAGGAGGTATTGTTTCCCTGTTCCCTGAAAAGCTCAGCAGGCTGTAGGCTTGTGGCCAAATGACATGGATTCTTGTCAGTACACATAAAAGGCCAGACTGTGCCTGGCCACTGCGTGGGTATGCAGGGATGGGGACGGCTTAAGGAGCCTCTCCCTCATCATGATGTTCTTTGCCCTTTTTGCTTCATGCAAAACAAAGCATGCTTCTGCTCTCTGAAGTCAGAGGACTCTGTAGTCTTAAGGGGGCCCCACTGGTCCCAAATCTACCTCATCAGTTCCCTGACCGAGGAGAAGAGCACATGGACAGTCTGTTTAGCTTGTGTTCTGCCTCCATGTTTGCCACATGCTCTAGAGGAGCTGTGTGGTTCTTCCAGAAGTTGCCCTGTATACTCATGGGCATGGGGATACTGTCATCTTCAAAGTTCAGAAGCTAATGCTCCTGAGGAACAGATCGCATAGAGATGAAGCAAGCATGGCTGGCTACAGAATTTTGCACCTTATCTTTTGTCTGGGCTCTGCGCCAGACTCCTTACCAAGTGCCCTGGCACGGGGAGTGTTACAATTATCTACAAATAACCAGTCACACTGCAGACAGAATGCTACAGGATATGAGCCACACATCTTACAAATAACCACATCAGAATTTGAGCTGTTCCCTTTAAGATGCAACAAAACTACCAAATTCAGTCTTTACAACATTAGCTGGCAGGCAGGCCGAGTGATTAGGACTTTTATGAGTCCTGCAGGACCCCACAACAATCAGCAAAACTTGGCATTCTGTTTTTCTTCTCATCTTCTCTCCACTTGTTAGTTTTCTTCCCTTCCCTAGTCACATTTGTCTGTGGTTCATCTCTCTCCTTTCATTTTTCAGTCTCTACTTAATTTTTTCTTTTTCTTTTTCTTTTTTTTTTTTTTTTCTTTTTAACTGAACTAGAGAGAGAAAGTATTCCCGGTGTTTCCATATGGGAATCTTATGAATAGAATTTGTTTTCTCCATGTTGTGTTGGGCTTGTTGTGGTATTGTTTCTCTCCAACATACAGCTGACACTTTAATCACTTGAGGACAGTAAATGCATGTATAGACAATAGAAGAAGCACCAGCACTCCTCTGTGCTGTATTCCCAGAAGTGCTGGATGACAACTCTGCGGTTCTCTATGGGCCAATCCCGAAGTCATTACTTCAGGCATGTCCATACACAGTTGTAAACACTTCAGTTAACATGACTGAACAAGCCTTTACTCGTTAGCTTAACTATGGTAACCGATGGTATGTGTGCTCCTAGCCAACCACAAATGCTGTGCCATTAGCCCGGATATATTTTGAGTTTGAAATGGGCTCAGGGTGAGCCTATGGTCAGCTATTGCAACTTAGATGACAACTGATAATATAAAAAACTCTATTTAACTCACTTCTTGAGATCTTGTGAACTTAGCCTCAGCTAAAACTCCCAGGGAATTTCTTGTCTGAGTGAAGACTGCAAAGGTTGGCACCGTCTCATCCTGCCTCTGTAACTCTACATAATTTCTGAAGTCAATTCCATCAGCGTGACATCTAAGCATCTTTCAGTACTGTGCTAAGTAACATGACTAACATCTGTCATGTGGGGTTTTTTTTTCTTTGTGGTTTATACTGTCATTTGAGATGTGTACGTGGGAGAACCGGGTGTATAGTGAATGACTTTGTTTTAGCAGAATATTTAAAGTATGTGGTATTCAGAGTTATTTTCTCCTCCACTCAGTGCAAAAGGAGGAAAGGCTTCTCCTGTTCCTTGCTTCCTGAGGGAGTTTTTCTGCAGACAGTACACCAGACTCTCAATGTCTTTAGTTCATGAGTGTTAAAATGTTTTGGAAACTTTCCTGTGATGCACCTTCTACCACATTTCTTCATTGTTGCCAGCACCATAAGATTGGATAAAAAGTTTTAACCACCCAAGTCAGGAGAGTCTGAAGAGGAAAAAAAATCATCATTATGTTTACTATTGTTTTTCTCTTCTTCAGCTGGAGCCAGTTGGTGAAAAGCAGACTTACAACAACTTTACCCATGACAGATCAAAACTCAAGTGTCCAAACCCAGTAAGTAAAGGCCAAGATGTGCATACTCTCCATTAACCACTTTTATTTTTCTCCTTTCTTCTTATTGGTAAAATTCTTTAAAAGATTATCTTTGTGAAGGCTTTAAATAGCTAGAATATATTCCTGTTTTGTTATGCACAGGAAAATTTAATGAAAAAAAAAAAAAAGAATTATCCTCACTGCAGTGGAAAGCCTCTCATTTGAGCCAGTTTTAATGAGTCTATGTATTTCCATTTGGTTGTCTGCAGCAAACAAATTTGGAAATGATGCCATCACTCTCCGAGATGGCTCCTTTTTTTTTTTTTTTGTTCTAGGAACTTTCAGGCAATAGGGCAGGAAAGTGTTTGAGCCTTCTGTTTGAGCCTATCTTAATAGACAGAAGGCAGAAACAGCTGATAGTCTAAAGATTGACAGTTCCTCTCCGGGAAGGGGTGATGGCATATTGTCTGAATGCTGCCTGTTGAGTAGTCTGTGGTCAGTAAAACCTTGGCTCTCCTTTTGTAGGAGAAACCCTTTCTTTCCACACTGAGAAATAGTGGATTCAGAAATTCAGACCTCAACTTGGAGAAAACCAAACTTTCAGTCCCCTACTGGGCTGTCATTATCGCCGCAGTAGCTGGAGTCCTGGCGGGTTCTTTACTCATCTGGCTTGTGTCAAGAAGAAGAGCTGAGAGGCACGAATGTGAGACTGACACAGAAAAGAACATTCAGATGACATCTCTGTAAAGCAAGTGGAAAAAACATCTGTTTCTGCTGAGGCTGCTCCTTGGTGTGACGCAGAGAGCAGTAGAATAAAAAAACCTGTTGGATATAAATGAAACTTCTTGGTTAGCCAGGGATTTTTGAGCCCAATAATCTTGATGAGAAATGTACTGTGGAGTTAGCTTCTGCAGATCAGTCAAGTAGAGGAGGAAGTTCAAAGTGTTAAAGCTTTTTTATTCTGGGATGTAATTCTCCGTTTCGTGAATATCACTCAGGATGTCAATTGTTTGCATGAAGTGAGAAAACTTGTTTGTACATCTTGGCACCTTAATTGTGCATCTGCCATTTTTTCTTATAAAACTGTGTTTAAAATGTTAGCTACAAGACTGTGACCTGGTAGTCCCCAATAGCAAGGTAAGCAAGATAAAAAAGAAAAGCTGCAATTTCACATGCTAGATTCCAGCAAGACCATTGAGTTGAAGGTGCTAAGGTCATTCTACAACAGGCAAGTACAATGCCATGGAAACATCTGTAAGCCAACTTCTGAGCAACCCAGACCATCCGTGTGGCATCCCTGGTGCAGTGCTAGGCAGCACAGCTAGAATAACTGCACCCTCTCCACTGCCTTGGACTCCAGGCTCTCCATCTGTCTGGGATTGGACGTGGATCTGGGCCACAAGAATTGCTTCTCCTCCAGGACTAAATAGCCTAGGGGCAGTCCTGTATCCTCCTGCCCACCACTGTATGGCAGCTGGTTGTAGAATGACTCTTCCTGTAAAGAAGGAATTTCTTCACTAGCATGCAGTAGGGGGTCTAAACAAAAATTCTGAACCTGTTGGGCAAACTAGCCTGGCTTAATGCTTCTCATAGGACCTGTGGTGTGTTCAGATCTCCCAGGCTGGAGTCTCCATGGCTGTTCTCCAAGGAAGAATTTGCAAATTTTTTTTAAAATTCTGATCAGGAGTTCAGAAGAGATCTTTCCTGGAAATTAGACATTCCTCGGTTTATACTTGCAGGTCAATTAATACTATCTACTAGTACAAAAGATACTTCCCAGGTTCCTTGTGATCTTGTTTTCCAATATCTTTCTTATTTCCTATGTCAAATATCTTACATTTTGGTTTTATTGAAGCCAAAGTGCGGTTTGCACTGGTGTCATTTTTTGCACTCGTGTGAGGTGTACTACATTTCCACTCCAGAAACACAGATGAGCAGAAAATTAAAATGTTTCAGAGAAGAAAGTGTGTTCTGGGGTTCCTAAATCTACTCATTATGCACACAGAAGGTATTCAGACTCCTCCTTTTTCCATTTCAGTCCTGTCATTGTCCTTGCTGAGATAAAGAGGTGAGTAAAATACACGCTGTATAGTCAGGCTTCAGGGGCTGTAGCTTCACTCACCTCTCCTTTGATCTGCACTCAAAGGTTGGGCTATTACTAGTAGGACTTTTATTTGCCTAAATCTTATCCACAGATGTGTGTCTGGGAGCTACATGCAGCCCCAAGTGGGGATATATTTGGAATGCAAAACAGAAGCACCTTCATCTTGTTTCAGTGCAGCACAGGCATCGCTGCTGCTCTTCCTGTCTCTGTCTTCACTGTGGGTCATTAACTATCTACCTGATATCCCAGTTACTGGTATTTATTTAGCTCAGTAAATGGAAGCAAACACAGCATCAAACCTGCAATGCAGGAGACAAGATTTAACTGTATTCCAGTCCATTCCACAGCACCTTCACCTCAGACACATTGGAAAATATAAGCCTCACAAGTGAGGAACCTGATCAAATGTCCCAGCGGATCATGAAGGCTAAAATCTCCTCTCATCCCTAAATGTTGTTCTTGTGAGTCCTCTTCCTTCCTGGGAGCTTGGATAGCTATGGCTCCTACAACCCTTGGCTTGGGAAGGAATAAAAAGATATAGTTCTCTGCAGAACCTTTCATCAGTACTAGGTATTGCAAAGGAAACTCAAAACAGTAGTTCAGTGCTGATTTACCTTTCTAAATCATGTGTTCACGCAGGAAATGGGGTGGGGGTCCTAGAGCATGAGTTCAAGGTACAAAATACTCCAGTTTCTCACATCAGTTTTGTCCTGCCTAGAGAAAGGTACAAGTGCATCTTGAGTTTTATGCTGGTGACCCCTGCTAGAATACCTAGACATTCCCTTTCCTCCCGTAGAAAGCTAAATTTTGTTCTGAGCTTCTGAAAGCCAACCTTTTCCCCTAGTTTCTGTAGCTGTGGTGTAGCTCTACTGCACTACTATGGCAGGAGCACACAGGAGCCGGAGCATGAACTGGCGGGCTTCTTATTTAGTCTATGGAAATATCTTCTGGCATCTTTCTTGTGTAGACTGAAGTATGTGATGAACTGCACTGACATTTAAAAAAAACACCAAAAATCATGCAGTTTTCAGCTGCTGCACAAGTAAAATTATTTCCTTGAAAATATTACTGCTGCGCGTTCCCTCTGTGCTCATTAAGTGGAGGTAACATTAAACTGGAGTGAATGACAAATTATTAGGTCTGGATCTCAGTCTGACTGCATTCAGTGTCACATTAAATCAGAAAGTAATCCATACATCCTGTCCGTCAGTTGTCCATTCCCCCTTTTTTCTTTAATAACGTGCCCTTGGTTTCAAATGCCCTTGTGGCATTTTTCCTCACTGGACTGCTGAGTAGGCCAGATTGCCTACTGATGCAGAAAAGAAGAGAGGCTTAGGAGGAACTTCAAGTCTGTATGGGAAAATGCATGAAATGGATGCCATCTTAGCCCAGGATTTTACTTTGGCCAATGGTGGTCTAGCCCACCTCTGAAAACTACCTCTTCTCTGTAAAGTGATTCCTTAACATCCTGAGAAAACAGGCTTTGTGGATTCTTCCTTTGCAGAAGAACCACAGCTCAGCCCACATGAGCAGTCACTGTCCAAAGGACCTTTGTGGGTACTGGCCTTGCTGCCCAACTCAGGTTGTTGTGAAGGGCACTGGGGGTAAGTGTTACGCTGTTGCCTGGTTTTGAGAAGTAAACTGTTCTTCAAACAGGGAAGTGATGGAGCCTGACAAGTGTTGGCAAATCGTTTGTCTACAGCTTAGGCAGCAGTTGAGTTCAAGTTCTGGCCTCCTTTGTTGCTGCTGATGGACCTCTCTCATCATGGTACAGTCTCTGCGGTTTGCTTTGTAAGGTCGAATGACACAAAAGAGTTTCATCTAGGGTCAGTTTGTCCCGAAGTCCAGTTTAGGTGCTCAGTGAACTTAGGGAAGAGAGGGAAAATTCAGAAAAACATCTGCACAGAAGAATTTTGTGTGGCTTTGGAGGTTGCTAAGTGTTTCCTCCCACCAGCTCCTGGATGGTGAGATACAGATGTACTGATTACAAATGAAGTCATTTTAACAGCTGGTCAGTATGTTATAGATAGGGATAACTGGGCAAGAATTTTGTTACTTTGAGGGGTATTTAGCTAAAAAGTTGAGGTGAAACAACCCCACCCCAAAGAGAGGGGTATGGAAAAGCCCTGGATTTTTACAACTCTGCATTTGCATGATTCATGTTCCCTCAGGTATTAAAAGAATTTGCTACTGGAGGACCACAGGTTTGCAATGCTTGCTCTTTTTTACGCTTTTTTTAGAAGGAAGGTATCTGGGATTTTGGGAAAAGCAAGACAAAAGTCTATCCATAAAGTAGTTCACGAATTACTTAAATTAAGCAAGTTTTCTGGGTATCATAGGTCTCTGAGCATGACAGAGAGGAGTGCTCCTGAGAACTATTATGTTAAAACTACTTCTGTCCTGAGTTCACAGTTTGCTCATCTCATACCTGAGAAGTATTTCTAGCCACAGGAGTCTGTATCCAAAAAAGGGGGTGGTGGAAGAAGGGAAACAAACTGGCACATTTTAACTTAGCACATGCTGAGTATCTTCTATTTAACTGTGAGCAACTGTCCTTGCCACCACTTAGCTTTTGTGGACACCAGATGTGACACCATCTTTCACCTATTGACTTCCTTTCTGAGCTCAATAGATTTCTTTTAGGCATTTCGAAACCCAACACTATCAACATACACCTGACTGGGGGGGTTGGGGAACTTATTAACTTTAGCTGCTTTTGATGAACCTGCTAGCATGAAGCAAAAATTTTTCTGTTTTGATCATCAGAGAGAATGGTCACCCAAGAGAAAAGACAGAGCGCCCATGGCTTGAGTAATTTTAGAAAGAAATCCAACAAAACACAGGACAGCTTATTTAAGAGGTGGTGGGGACTACTCACTGGCTAGAGGCTGGAAGAAGTTCCCTTACGTCTTTCCATTTCTGTGACCTATGTAACTGTCACTCATAATGCAGTCATAACTAGATTAAGTTATGTGGATTTTACTGAGAAAATGTCATTCACTGAACTGTGTAGGTTTTCCCTAATTGCAGGCCTTCAGCAGGTTTTGTAGAAGTCAGGTATGGAAATGTGCTGGTGTCCTCTGTTGGAGGGAGTAGGGGATCCATGAACGTCTTTCTTTCAGTGGTAGGGTGCTTGTACTCCCTAGGCCTTTTGCTTCCTTACAGGAAGGAGCTAATAGTCCTTTTGGAGTAGTGGTGCTGCAGGGACATTGTTCAGTGGGAGGCAGTTGGGAATTTCTGCCATTGATCCGTGGTCTGACCCTGGAGCGAGTTATTTCAGCTGGAGAAACCACCTGCTTCCAAAGATCTAAGAGTGCTTTCTCATTGGTGTAAAATGATTATGGTTGTGAAGAAGGAAAGTGATCTTATATCTTTAAAGTGTCTGTATCATAATCTTCAAGGATTTTTTTAAATTCCTTTTAGTGTTAAAAACTAGCCATGAAGGAAAACCTTTCAGCTACCATTTGTGTTGCTCAGGTGACTTGAAGCACCACCTGAGGGCCCCAATGGGCTTAGGTTGTGATAGGAGATAATCCCCGAAGTAAAACAGTGGTCAGGGATGCTGTTCAATTTAACAACAGCAGGGGAGCTGGACCTTGGGCATTTCAGAAAAATATGTGTAATGGCTTCACAGTGGGTGGAT